CCATTGCTTCTTGTTCTATCCTCAGGTGCCTTGGAAAATAGTTTGACTCCCTCTTCTTTGTGGCAACCCCTGAGTTTACATTTCCAAATTAAAGATCAGACGAGGGAGGGAGGGAGGGAGGGAGGAAGGAAAGCTTGTCCCCCCCCAAAAAAAATCTTTTCTGGATCCAAATGGTACTTCAAGGAAAAAGCAGCAGCAGCAGGGAAGAAAAAGAGAAGCTGCACCAAGTAAGCAGAGAAGAGGCCAGCAGCAAAATGCACCCAACCTATCGAAACTGCAGCTGGGAGCCCTGTTGCTCCCACTTTTGAACGCGGAATCCTTTCCAAATATGTCGTGCACAGCAACGACGACTGAAAAAGACCTTTCGGAATGACCAAGTCCATCTGTGGTCACCAAAAGAGAATTATTTCTGTTTCTATAAAAAGAACCCAACTTCATGCAATTCTGGGTAACTGTATGAGTCGACCCATCCATAGTAAGGAAAAGGGATTCCCAACCGTGGCCCAGACCCTCCCTCCCTCGACTGCTACATCAATGCTTCTTCATGGAGGCCCTGCTTATGGTCAGGGTCAGCCTCCTCATCTTCAGGAGGATCGTTTTCATCCCCGGATTCGACGTAGATGGGCCAGTCGTTGTCTGGGTCACCCTTTTCTGGCCCTTCGGAAGAAGGCTCCATGAGGCTGAGGTTGATGGGCACTGAATCCTCATGAGTGGTGGTGACACATGTGCAACTGTCGCACAGGCCAAAGCGACGCAAGCCTTGAGTCAGGCTGCTGGTGAATGTCCGCCGGCAGCCTTTGCAGATGATGGGCTTGTTGGACCGATGGACCTGGAGAACAAAAATCAAGCAGGATGGTCAACCCAGGGGACAGTCGAGGTCAGGAGGGCCTTTGCACAATTTTGGGTTGTGCACTGGTTATGCCCATTCCTGGAGCAACATGCCCATCTCAGATACCCACGCCCTGGTCCCCTCCTGTCTGCACTGGTGTAATGTACTCTACATGGGGCTGCCCCCAAAGACCCTTTAGAAGCTTCAATCAGGGCAGAACGCAGCAGCCCAGACAAGCCCAGAGTTTGCAAGAGCCGCCCTGGCTGCCACTCTGCTTCCAGTCCAATTAAGATGCTGGTTGCCACTTTTAAAGCCCTGCATGGCCTGGGACCAGGCTGTCAGGCCTGCAGTTTTCTTTTGGATCTTTGGCCTGCCATACTTTCTATTATCTTTCTTTTTCTATTATAGGAAAGATAGGAGGGGGGATTGTAAGGAGTTACTTATTGTGTAGCCTAAAAAAAATTCTTTCTAAAAGCCAAGGTCATCCTTTGTTTCTAGGCCTCTGCACCTGACCGGAACTGGATGTGTGGAACTGCCAGCATGGCAGTGGAAGATTGGACCATGGGATGGACTTGTGGGTGTGGGAGCAAGATTGAACTTTCAACTCGGTGAGGAAAACTGGGGAGCTTTCAGATTCGGGTTTTCCCAGATGTGCCAACGTGGCTCTCTTCATAAATTGGAACTCTGAGGAATCTTTGCCTTGGACTCTGATTTAATTTTGGATGCTATTTGGAACCCTTACAGGTTGTTTGAAGGATCATGTATAATGTCCCCTCTTCCATCCACCCAGCCCACCCGAACAGGAAGGCAGGGCATATTACGGGACTGTCATCTGCTGAGATCACAAAAAGATCTTGGGGGTGGGGGGGCTTCTTTATGGAACATCTTACTCCCACAAATACGATTGCTCCCCTCCCCCCTTGATGCATTAAGATGTAGCAATCAAGGGGTTGGTATGATTATATTGCTGCTGCCTTGGGGGGCAGGGAGAATGGGTTGTGTATGTTAATGTGGTGAGCTGCCCAGGGTCACCAGGGTGTGAGTTGGGCAGCCATATAGATTTGTACAATGGACAAGCAACATGGCTGATGCCCCAAACTCTGTGTCTCATCTGTACTGGCCCAAGTCATGCCCAGTCCTTTTCCAAAAACCTCCCCCACTTCCACAAGTTGATTGCCCGTTGCGATGGGGACATGGCTTCCCCTGATGGGCAGGTGCAGCCAAAGTAACACTTACACTCAAGGCGTGGCTCCGGAGGTGCTCCTGGCGCGTGAAGCGCTTGCCGCAGACTTCGCAGGGGTAGGGCCTCTCTCCAGTGTGGGAGCGGATGTGGCGCTTCAGGATGCCCTTCTGCTTCGCCGTGTAGGGGCAAAACGGGCACTTGTGCAACTTGATGGGCACCACAAGGACATCACCTTTGTGGGGAGGGAAACAGCATTGGGGACCGTTTCAAACGGGGGTGCAAGTTTCAAAGGAGGAGATTTAAATGCAAGTGCAACCATTTGGGAGGGGAAAGAGAATTCCGTTGAGAATTCCAGGCCATGGCAGGCAAAACTTCATTTTAGCATCTGCAGCATTTAGGCTGCATGTGTGAAAGCATTTCCGCCTGGTTACTGCAGCCACTGCCACTGATCCATGGAAGCAAAAAGGTTGGGGACCACTGGGGCAGTGCGTGTTCCTTTTAGATATACCTGGTACAAACATTTGAGTACAGGGATTCCTTGACTTGCAACCGTTTGTTTAGTGACCATTCGAGCTTATAATGACACTGAAAAAAGTGACATGACCATTTTTCACACTTATGACCGTTGTAGCATCCCCTTGATCCTGGGATCAGATTTTGGATGCTTGGCGACTGGCATGTGTTTCTGAAGGTTGCAGGGACCACATGATCCCCTTTTACGACCTTCTGATGATCAACTTCAATGAGGCAGCCGGATTCACTCAACCACCATCCTACTACCTAATTGCAGCAACACACGTACACAAGGAAAGTCGTAAAATGAGGCACTCTCTCTTAACAACTGTCTTCCTTAGCAACCGAAATTTCGTGCACAATTGTGGTCATAAGTCAAGGACTACCTGTAACTTTTAGTTATCCTATATTTTTAATTCCACTTTTCAGTTAGCCTAATATTAAGGGTCCCAGCTTTTATTCTGTGCTTCCCAACACTGCCCACTTCAAGCTGTGTGGACTTCAACTCCCAAAGATGCTGGGGGATTCTGGGAGCTGAAGCCCAACTGGCTTGAAATTGATTCAAGGTGGGATACCAAAGCAGGCAGGGGTGGGGTGCTGCCCCCCCCCCCCAACAGGAAAGAGGAAACGGACATCAGGGCAAAGGAAAGACCAAGAGAAGATCTTCCTGCACCAGCACCGCTTTCCTCCAGGCAGAGAGAATTATGGGCTTATTTTCTGGGGAGGAAACATGAGAGTCACCTTGGATAGCGAGATGGGTGGCATATAATTTAATAAATAAGTAAATAAATCAAGCATCTTTCAAAGTCAATATCAAAAAGCACACAACTTCAACATCCAATTTCAATTTATGTAAATTACAGAATTCCAGAAGATGGACATTCCTTCATCAAAGGAATGTTTCCCAGTAGTTTCATCAACAGCTCAGTTAGACAACATCACTAGGTGGTTTATGGGTGCATCCCACAGATAAGTCAAGGGCCCAGGGCTCCTTTCTAAATGCAAGAGCCTTTGAAATGGGTAGAATCATTTAAAGGCATCCTTTGTGCCTTCTGCATTCTCACCGGACAATGGAAAGCACTTTTAAATCCAAGACTTATCGTAATTGGAGATTGTGGGTTAGGGCAGGTTACAAAGACAGCAGAATAAATGAATGAATGGTTCCATTTTATGACATTTCATTCTCCCTTCATCATAACCTGCCCATCATCTTTGGGAAGGGGAGCAAGGAAAATGAAGCAGAAGGGAGAATCCCAACACTAATATAGGTATCCCCCAACTTACATCCACAACTGGGACCAGAATTTCCATTGTTAAGCAAATCATTGAAGTTGTTAAGTGAATCATGCAAACATTAAGCAAACCTGGCTTCTCCCCTCGACTTTGTTGGAAGCCAGCTGGGAAGCTCACAAAGAGATCCCACAAGCTCGGGACACTGCAAGTGCCGTAAACACAGGCCTGTTGCCTAGCACCTGAATACTGATCAAATCAGCATGGGATTGCTGTGACAGTCGTAAGTGTGAGGATTGGTTGCAAGTCATTATTTTCAGTGTGGTTGTAACTTAAATAATTAAACAAATGGTCGCATGTGAAGGACTACCTTCATTAAATACTTGTTGAATTCTACACCTTCCCAGAAACTTTAGATTGTGGAATTAAGATTCATTCTTCCTTTGGAAGCCCAGCTATTTTGATGCACCTCATTACCTCAATTCCACACAGGCAAGAAACTCTGTGAAATCACTGAATCAGAAAACAACCCCCTTGCGAGGAAGAAGGCGGGGCTTAGCAGTGAGAAGA